CAAAAACTGAAACACATCAAACACTTCAAACGCTGAAACACGCCAAATGTTGAACCACATCAAACACTGAAACACACCAAACACGTCAAACGCTGAAACACGCCAAACACTGAAACACGTCTGTGTGTTCAGGACGACCTCATGGCTGAGCTGGAGGAGCTGGAGCAGGAAGAACTGGACAAAAACCTTTTGGAAATCGAAGCAACGGAAGACGTCCCCCTGCCCAGCGTACCGTCCACGTCGCTCCCATCCAAACCAGGTGTGTGTGTGTGTGTGTGTGTGTTTTTGGGGGGGTCACAGAACCGGGGCGCAATTGGTCCGTGTTCTTCTTCACGTATATATAAAATGCTGTTCTCTCGTCTGTTGCAGCCAAGAAGAAGGTGGAGGAGGACGAGGACGACATGGCCGACCTGGAGGCCTGGGCGGCCAACTGAGCGTGCCCCCCCTCTCTCTCTCTCTCTCTCTCTCTCACTACACACGTTTCCAACATCTGGAGGAGAGACGAGGACTCCGGGCTGCCGGCATGCTGCTCCGCAAAGCCCTCATCCCCCCACGTCTAACCCTAACCCCCAAAACCCTAGAACGCACTTTGCAGACTCAGATGAAACGAACCCGGCCTTCCCCCCCCCCATCCCTCAGATCATTACAGAACGAGTCTCTTTGCTCCAGCTGTGCACTCCTCTCTTTCTTCAGGGCTAAAGGAAAGCGTCTTTCTCCCGGGCTCGTCCCCTGAAAGAATGTAAGCATCAACATATCTGTGCAGATTAATTTTTTTCAAAAAGAAAACGGGGCGGCCATTTTTTTTCCCCGCTTGCTGCGTTTCCGGCTATCCGCTCTGTTACCGAGGAGACGACGTCCCGGCTGCCGAATCCCTAAAAAAGCAGAAAGAAAAGGGTCAAACGGAACAAAAACGCAGGGCCTTGTCATTTAAACGTGGCTGTTAAAATCATAAAACATGAACTGGCTGTTCGAACGTCTGGATGACAAACACCTCCATTTTTTTTGTTTCACTCTAAATCATCCATTTAATCAGAAACTCCTCACAGGTGTGAGGAAACAAAGTCTTTGTTTTTTTTTATCATCCTTTGAATGTATCGGGCGATCTCCTTCATATCTGATCGGAGGGAACGCTGCTCCCTGTTTTGTTTTTTTTTCTTTAAGAAGAATTGATTTGCCATGACTCAGGATTTTGACAGCTTTACACGTAATCAGTCGTGACGGGTGGAAGCCAGCTAGCTGAAAGCCGCCAAAGCGTAGGTTGGTTCCAGTCAAAGCAGAACCAAAAAGATCCTGGAGGTACTACAGGCTGCCCCTCCCTCGCTGGGGGCAGTGCTCCGACTGGCTAAGACCCAACCGGTCAGTGACACAATCGGTACGGCTTTCTGGGATGTTCATTAAAGTTTGTGGTTACTCTCGTCAAACGGCCCTGTCGGATCGCTAACAGGTTGAGAGTTGGGTTTCCGCCCCTTCGACGGGTTCTTCCGTGGGTTTGGAGGTGGCGCTTGTTGTCCATCACCTCCTCCCGAGAGCAGGACAGAGCCCCCCCCCCCCACTCACTTCAAACCAGCTCCATTAAGAGGAACTTTGAATGGTCCGTTTGCTTCTCGTTTCTCTGGTTCCAGCTGAAAAAGAGAGAGAGAGGAGCCTCAAGTTGCTCTAGTTAGTGGTTCCCTTAGTGTGTGTGTCTGGGGTTTGTCCACTAGGGGTCTAGGAGTCCAGCGGGGCAAGATGGTAGCACTTCGGGGGCTGTGGGGGGGGGGGGGTTTTTAACATGAGAAAACTGTGCGTGACACCCAAAACCTTTCCCGACCCGTCGTACCGAGGTGGACTTTGGGTGTGAAAGGGCCCGCCGGAGGTTCGGGTCCGGGGCCGTTTGTTCGTTTTCCCGTTCTTCCTGACTTAAGTCATGACATAAGCGATGCTCAGCTTCTGCCCACTGCCCGACGCCCGGTCCGGTCCGGGCTGCGCCGCGCTCCGTCTGTCGCGAAGAAGACGACCACAATCCTTAAGTTTATACGAAAATATATTTGGAGAAATTTGCATATACTAGCAGAGAGTGTTTATTTTCCTTTTTTTATTTACCTCAATTACAGAAATGCAGGTGGCAGGTTCTGCTCAGAGATGTACTAAAGGTGGGATGTAGGAGATTTTCTTTGCTGATATGAGGCTGTATACAGTTTATCTAAATAAAGTTGGGATTAAATACAACCGTGAGCACTGTGGCATCTGTAAAGAACCAAAAAATCGCTGGTAAATATGAGAAACTTGCTGTTGGGTATCTCAGTGGGTTTTTTTGTGTCTCTTGTATGATCAGAACAATACAAACCTTTGGTCCCCCCTCATTTTCTACAATGTCCCCCCTTTTTCCTGTCTTGTAAAATGTAAACTGGTCATAATTAATAATCTTTCAAAAAGCTTTTCTGGATCTTTTACCTGGAAGTAATGAAACAACAGAAAGGGCCTCTAACTCAAGGGGTGAACTGGTTATGTGTGTAGATAACAGATAACTAGCAGCCTGTCACTAATAAACATCATTGGTTTACATTTACGCATTTAGCAGAATCTTTTAACCAAAGCAACCTACCAAAAGAGGATTTAACATTCAATACAACACCAGTTCCACACTTACCTTGAGTGCAATATTCTAGAAGAGGATTTAACATGAAAGATTTAACATTCAACCATAACAAATTCCACAGGTTGCATACGGTGACTGCTAGAAGCTATCAGGAAATAAGAGACCTATGTACCTGTTTCTGTTTAAAAGAAATAAAAAAGTTGTTAAAAAAAAATAAAAAAATAAGACACTTTAGAGCTTCCGGGACAAAAGATCCTCTCAGAAGAGCTGGTTCTTCAAGGGTTTCTTGAAGGAAGAATGAGTCTCTGATGATCTGATGGTGCTTGTTGGGTCGTAGAACCACAGATGAGAAGGGTCCTGATTGGCCTGTAGGGGGCGCTGGCCGTGTTAGCTGGCGCCCCCTGGGATTTGGATTGGACTAAGGCTTGTACAGAGAGTTAATTGAAGGTGGCGTTGATACTGAGAGGAAAGCAGGGATAGAAGAAGCCATGCGAGTAGGTTGGATTGATTAGAATGTTAGAAAGGTTCCCATTTCTTTTCCAAAGATAACACAGTTGGACTGAAATGCTCTCCGTGGAAGGGTGGCTGTCAAAAGTCACTCTTGAGGAAGGGAAACGCGGAGAAAAGGGTCTGATGGAGGGATGAGAAGAGCTCTAGGACGTCCTTCTGGAGGCCTGGAGAGCTGTTTCTGAAGGTTCCTTACAGAGAGGACGCAGCGGCTGGGCCGGGGGGGGGGGGGGGGGGGGGGTCTGTGTATTTCTTCACACGGCATCTCATCACCCTTAAAAGCACAGGTCCACCAGGACCCGGTTACTAATTGTCTGAGCTTTAATTTAACTCCCAGAGGAACCATTAACTTGTTATGGTGCACAGTTGTTGGATCTTTATCCTCTCTCTGGTAAATCTTTTGGTTTTACTTATGCCAGAGTTGTTCCACACAACTGTTGAACCTTTAACCTCCTGCTGCGAATGCCCTGTAGGTCTAAATATATTAGTTTCTCCAGTTTCAGGGTGGAACTATGCTTTAAAGGTTTTAAATGCTCACACTTCCTTTGTTTTTGCCTTGCAAGATGTTCTCTTTTACGTAGAAACGTCTACTTTGTATTCTTTGCAAATTATACATGATTTAAAAATCTAACATACTTAAGTTTGATTCTTGCCTCTAAAAATGTCTCCTAAACCCAAACTAAGATTTGAGATCTGTGGGACGGCGAGTTTAAAAATATGCTCCAAATTTAGCTGTAGCGTAGTGTTACTACTGGTGGGATCGGGTTAAACTCCGGCTGTAAGGCCACATGATACCACCATGTCACATTTACATGTTTTTCTACTCTTACAACTGCAAAACAAAGTCAGAAAATCAATAATAGACGACAACACGTCTGTTTAGTACGTTTATTTAGATTTGCAGCTTGCCTTTAATATTTGATCGGACATAACTGAACGCTGAATGGTCTGTACGATGCATTCAAGGCCACGTGGAAGAGTTGGTACTCACTTAACCCTTGTAGATTCAAATTAATCGTAGTGGCTGTTTCATTTAAATACACTATGTGTTCGCCACTTAATGCTTTTGTTGTTAGCTTACAAAGCCTACCTAAACATGAGTTAAAATTTCTTGTTTGAATGTGAGTTTAACAGACATGAGAACAGAGATAATCATTTTACAAACAAATATTCCTGTATTCAGATATTTAAATCACATTTAAAGTACATTTAAAGTATCTTTCAGTCCCATGAAGACATGAAATAATAATGATAAATCAGTTAAAGACATTAAATAATAATGATAAATCAGTTAAAGACATGAAATAATAATGATACATCAGTTAAACTGATTAAGCTAGTTCTTCAGATGTGTGTGTAGGTTTTCTTCCTCCCACTGCACGGTCCAAAAAAAAAAGAAGCTTGTTAGGTTGATGATTAATTTCTCCGAATCGGCCTCTGGAGTGAGTTTGAGCACGCGCTTGCTTGTCTTAATCTGTCTCTGCGTGGCCCTGTGACGGACTTGGGGCCTGTTCATCTGTCTCACTCTGCAAAAAACAACTGACGTGCACTTAAAGATTTAAGTCCGACCTAAAGCGTGTGGATTTTGAGCTTTAAAAAATCAGAGGATAGCATCCAGATACGGTAGTTTTCGAATGACTTCTGCTTGTTTGCACTCGACTGAACTCAAATGGACCTCGGAGGCGTTTGAACGCCCCAAAGTTGCTTCCTTTTGCAAACAGTAAAATGTGCATGTATATTAATAAAGAAAATTCCCCTGGAGCAAGTTGCTCCAGTCCTGTCTTCTTCTGGGGGGGGCGGGAAGGCAGGAGTTGTCAAACGAGGTATCTCATTCGCTTGGTGCCTCCGGGCGTTTTCAGGCCCCAGAATGTGCACAGCAAAGGTTACTGCTCGTCAAAATAATTCACACAGATTCATGGCTAACCTTTTTTCAAATAAAATAAAGATTTTTAAATAGCACGGTCTGACAAAATGACAATGTTTATTTAGGTCATTCAGCCATACTTACATGCTATTCCATTACACATATACCACCTTATGCCTGTTAATTTTTTTACATTTGGGCAATACGTATAAAATAAATAGGCAATACATTTATAATTCCTTGCTAAATGTTGACTGTTAAGTTGGATGTTCACATTTTCTGCAGTTTTCAGCTGAAAAAAATCAGAAATCCCAGCATTACGATTGTAAACACTCCTCAAAATGTTGAGAATTCAGCGTTATTTAAATACTTGTGTAACCTGAAATGTATTATTCAACCCAGTGACCAGGCTCACATAGCAAAACCGTCATTTGCCAACACCAACAAAGTCCGGACAAAACTTGCTCCAACCATACAAACACTCGACGACTGATCACCGCAATCCAAGTTATGATTGGTCATCTTTTTCGACCCCCATCCAATCACGTTCGCCGTTTGTGGGGCGGGATCTGGCCCGGCCAATAGAAATCCAGCCTGAATCCCGGTTAGAGGCGCCCTGTAGCGTAAACCCGTTTGAATGAAGCTTCGACGATAAAAACCAGGCCGTCATGTTTCTGTCCCTCCCTCTCTGTCTCCGTCCGTCGGCCAGGCTGCAGCCTCGTTCAACCTCCCCGGAACAAAATACAAGCAACCAGCCATGTCTGAGAAACTTCCCTACAAAGTTGGTCAGTGAAAACGTTTGCATTTGTCGCTTCGTGAACGAGTTTAATGTCTCAATGTAGGTTAGAGATTCGGGTTCGAATGGGCGCATATGGTAACGTGCACAACGGTTAACGGCGCCCACAGCAGACAGAGGCTAAATACCGAAAAAAAAAAAGTAAATGTGCTTTAAAGCCGTATTCATTGGAGGTTTGTAGCCGTGACATGCACCGTCGTTACGAAAGTTGAGTCATTAGCATATTTAGCATGTGTTAGATAGCTTTGTAATATAATTCTACACAAATACGGAGTTATGCGTTCCTCCGTCACAAATTTGAACAGCCAAGTAGTTGCTTTTTATGTTTTAATTCTCACAATAGCAATTAATTGATACGTAACTACCGTTCTTGCACCTAGCACGGGCTCCCCCGTGAACTGAAAGTGCACCGGAAGTCTCTGGGTATTGTAGTTCGGTAGCGCGGCGCTCCAGTTCTCGCGCTCTGTTTGTAAACTCCACTTCCCGCGATGACTTGCGCTTCGCCGCCACTTTGTACATGACTGACAAGAACAGGCAAAAGATTAAGCTGCAGTTTGTGTAGCTGCTTAGCATTAATGCTGGGATCGCACGTGGTGTGTGTGCCGCCGACATATGGCAGGTCAAAGGCTGCGTGCCGTCGATAGTTTCCAAGAGTTTTTTACTTAAAAACGTGGTTGTTTGTCCCAATAATTGAGTTGTATCTAATTGACTCCACTCCTATCTTATAATAAATGTGACGTTCACACTTCACATGAAAACATTTAATCCTAAACTAAACTAAATGTTACCGAGAGGTGGCACACAATACAGGAAAGAGACTGCATGGTATTAATAAATGTTATTCAAATTTGTTTGGTTATATTTGAAGCACACCTTCAAATTGGAACGTGTGAAGTACAAAATGTTGACCAGCTGCCAGATCCAAAAGTCTTTAGGGCAAAGTCTACACTTTGTCCAAGGACTAATGCAACCAAGACTTGGCCAAGAGTTTAATTTGGTTTGTGTAATATCACTTATTTGCTACGAGCAGTCAATCAGACCAGTAATTTCATAAAGATTATCAATCTCTTTTTTTTCTTTCAATGGTAGAAATGTACATTTTCTTCCTCCATTTTCATTGTACACATTGTTCAGTGTTGATTCAGCCTGCACAACACTGCTGCATGCTCTGATATGAATCGTCATTTGTCAGCACTTCTTAATCTAACAAAAGATGACAGTAAATCAATATTTTTGCATCGATCCGGCCACTTATCGGACGTCCTCCGAACAATACGATCAAGTTATTGCTCAAATACCAATATCCAAAACGCCATCTTTTGTTATCCAAAGGATAACTCTGCATTAATGCAGCTAAATCCATTGCATTCCTCCTCTCCAAACGATGGAAAACATGTGCAGCCGCCCAGCTGTTGTGTGGTGAAAGGACACAGTGTGTGCGTTTGCTGCTGGTTGTGTCGCAGCTGTGGCTGGTCTGGTTTTCCCACCGGGACGGGGCTACACACTCCCCTGTTTACACAGAGCCTTTGGAAAATGGTCGGAATGTGTGATCAGCTTAATTTTCCCCTCGGGCCTTAAAACGTGTGCCGGCGCCTTTTGAAACTTAAAATTAGCCTGACATTGAAAAATTCAGCCTGTGGAGGAGGATTATTGTCCGTTAGCTCAACAATGGAGGATATTTGACGTGGGATGAAAATGGACAGAGTTCATATGTTGCTGTGCTGGTGTTGATCAGAACTGACTCCCCACTTTCTCCCCCCCCCTCTAGCCGACATCAGCCTGGCAGAATGGGGGCGCAAGGCCGTGGACATCGCGGAGAACGAGATGCCCGGCCTGATGAAGATGAGGGAGCTGTACGGCCAGTCCAAGCCCCTGAAGGGCGCCCGCATCGCCGGCTGCCTGCACATGACCCTGCAGACCGCCGTGCTCATCGAGACCCTCACCGCCCTCGGAGCTGAGGTGACATTTACCCCCCCTTCCCCACCCTCTCCCCCCTATATGGACTAGTCGGCCCTGGCCTTGCAGTGTTTTCTTACTGTAACAGATTCTGAGTAAGCGGAAACGTCGTTTCTGTTATTGCAACAGTTACCGGGATATACCATTATTGATCCATGTGTTAGTACAAGCCGAGGGAACACCCCCCTCCCCGTTTCTCTAGGGCAAAATAATGCGTTATCATGTTGGTTTAATCGGGTTAAGACCGGCCTCATCCTGCAGGAGCCCGCTCTCTGGAAAGACTTTGCTCTCTCTCTGGGGGGGTTGAACAGGTTTTTCCCTGCTTCTGTGTGGCTAGGGCCCCAAGGCAGGAACCAGATTGGTGCAGAAAGCTCCCCCCCCCCCCCCCCCCCGACAGCCGGGCTCCCTCCCCAGGGCCGGAGGGCCTCAGGTCCGTGTCCAGCCGGGACCGGACGCGGCCAGCCCCTCCAGTCTCCTAAAGATTAACTGTATATTTATCTAGCCCTTATCTGCCCTTTGCCCCCGTTTCCCTGAAACAAACCAACCAAATAACATTTGCTGTAGCCCCCCCCCATTCCCTCAGTTATAATTTTCCACCAGGTAAAGAGCAGGTTATTGTTGTTATTGCTAAAAAGATCCCCATTAGCTGTCACCATAAGTGGGTGGAGCCAGCCTTCCTGGGGTCCAGAGGAGAAAACAAAAATCACTTAACAATTAAACATCTTAATAATAGATGTCATCAGATATCATTCCAAATAAGTTATTACATT